GGTGCTGAGGAATCGAACCAAGGGCCTCAGGCATGCAAGGCAAGTGCTCTACCACTGAGCCACCTTCCCAGCCCCTGGAAACTGAAGTTTCTTTGGCAATATACATCCCCCCCTTTTTTTTTTGCCAGTCTGGAACTTGAACTCAAGGCCTGGGCACTGTTTTTAAGCCTCTTTTGGTCAAGGCTATCACTCTACCACCACCACTTCACCACTTGAGCCACAGTGCCCCTTCCAGCTTTTTCTGTGTATATAGTACTGAGTAATCGAACCCAGGGCTTCATGCATGCTAGGCAAGCACTCTACCACTAAGCCACATTCCCAGCCCAGCAATATGCATTCTTACGGTAACTTCCTACACCGTAAGTTCCTTAAGAACAGCACCCAGGGTTTTTCTGAATGTATCATTATATATCACTTAATATACTTTTTTGTTCTCTGGATTAGTTGGTTGGATAGAAATACTTGATCACATTCAGGTTTGCATTTTTTTTTACAACATTGCTTAATGTATGCTGTGAAACTCTTTGACCCTCAGAATTATAGTGGCTGATGAATAAGCAGTGCCTAAATCTGTCCATCCATTGAAAATTTAACATGATATTTCAATTTTTTTTGTTTATTAACTGGAATTTTTTAAAGATGGCCTCACTATGTAGCCTAGGCTGGTCTGGAACACAATCCTCCTGTCTCCGCCTTCTCAGTGATGGGGTTACAGGTGTGTGTCATCAGTCCTGGCTGGAATACTTCTTTAACAAGAATTTCTTACATTTACCATTTTGGGTACCCAGTAGTTTGGTTAGCATGAGGAAGGCAAAAGAAATTATTCCTCGGCTTTGATTTTTCCTTGCAAAATAGCAATTAGCTCACTAGAATTCATCATCAGAAACCCATTAGCTGCAGTCCATTGCAAGAATCATTTGTATCAATGCTCAAATTGTCCCATTTTTGGCCATTAGAAGCCTCTTCAGGCAGGTTCCTGAGTTTTGTTAACTATCTGACTCTAGAAATTGCTAGTAACTGCCTTGCTAGCTATCTTGTAAAGAAAAATATTCCAGATCAAGTAGTTGCTCTAAGGAATTCTGGTTCCTTTCAGTATTTCAAGATCATAATCTGTGTTTTTTGTTTGTTTGTTTGTTTGTTTGCCAGTCCTGGGGCTTAAATTGAGGGCCTGGGGACTGTCCCTAACCTGCTTTTGCTCAAGGCCAGCACTCTACCACTTGAGTCACAGAGCCACTTCTGGCTCTTTCTGTTTATGTGGGATTGAGTAATCAAACCCAGGGCTTCATGCATGCTAGGCAAACACTCTACCATTAAGCCACATTCCCAGCCCCTCGAGATCACAATCTAGATGCTAATGATTTTCTCTGCAATGGAGTGGGCATTGTCTTCAGGCCTGCTCAGTGTTCAGAGCTAGGAGGTGCTTATCTGCTTGTTTGTTTATTTGCTTCTAAAAGAAAATTTATGTGAGTTCATACTGATGGCTCCAATTCCTGTTTAGTATCAACAAGTTTTTGCTAAATTCTTTTGTCTCTATATCTCCTTTCTCTCTTAGACTCACCACTCTATGATTACAGTAATGACAGAAGTAAAATATCATATACTTACTAGTTTTATCTACCATACACTTACAACAATCTAATAATTGTATCAATACTACTACTAATAGGAATATCACTTTTACCTTTTAAGGGTTTTCTTTTTTAAGTTCTAGAATATCCTTCCTTGTCTTGTATAGGCAGTTTCCTATTGATCCTTCGGACCCACTTTCAAACAGATACCTCTCATTTTTTTTAAACTTTAGCTAATATTCATTCCTTTGTATTCTATACCTCTTAGTTTAGCAAAATTCATTCATATTTTCTGTAACTTTCTACACCATTAATTCCTTAAGGATAGTACCCAGCAGCAGATACTCAGAGCAGGCTTGATTTTCAGCAAGTAATAGCATTCATGTCACATGGTACTCACAACTTTCCTGGACAAGTGACTTAGGCAGTATGCATGTTTTGATGCATTGAGAATCTACTCTGAGTCAGAGTAAACAGTGATGCTTTTCCTCATCCTCTCAAAATGAACTTCTCAATTTTATACTCTGCATCACCCTGACTAGCAGGCCCTTCTAAATTGAAGACAGGACTATGGGAATTTTTGATTGAAATACCAGACCAGAGTGGTGACATTGGCCAGATTCGGGGCAAAGAAATGCTCAGGGAAGAGACCCAGTGGTTGGGCCATCCAAGATAGAGATCCTGAAAAAGTACAAACAGTCTTCAAGACACAAAATGCTGGCTGATCAGGACATAATGGACCAAGTTTGGCACAAAGTCCAGAATCTTCTTACTTTTTACCCTCTGGCTTAAGTGCCAGGAATTCCCAGCCTCTTCCCTGCAGGCCATCCATTAAAAGTTGGCAGCAGGAGAAGGAAATTTTCTGCCTTCAGATTCTTCTGTAGGGTTTGACGTTCATTTGGAATAGACAACTAGAAAGATGAAAGAAAAATGGAGAGTAGATATTTATGAAAATAAAATCTCTAGTGTTGCCTACGGGCTAGTTTGTCTCTGCCATTATTTAACATTGCAGAAACCGGAGCTGGTCTTTATTAGAAGCCCTATGAGGGCTTCTGCTCTGGTAAATTACAGCTTCCACCCTTCTGCAGCTGCTTGTCACACACAAGACTGTTCGTTGGCAGCATTTCCCTTTCCCTGAGCCAGTAGACACGGGCAGGTCGCCCTTGCCCCGCCTTCCCTTCACAGTGTGGCCCAGGGCTGACATCTGAATGTAGCACTGGTGAGGTCTCCAAGGAGGCCCTGGCTCATCTCTTAAGTGGAAGGCCATGCTTTAGGAACCCTTCTCGGCCACATGCTGGCATCTCCTAGCCTTTCTTTCCAAGTTCCCGTTTCTTACCAATCTCCGACTGGGTGACTCTTCTTCATTACATGCTACGTTAAAGCCACTGTCCCTTGCAACGAGATTCCCCTCATATAAACATGCTTCCCAGTGAATGCCACCACAATTCATACTTGTCCCTGACTGAAGACTGGGCTGGGTTTTTTGTTTGTTTGTTTGTTTTTTTGCCAGTCCTGGGGCTTGATCTCAGGGCCTGGGAACTGTCCCTGAGCTTCTTTTGCTCAAGGCTAGCACTCTATCACTTGAGCCACAGCACTACTTTTGGCTTTTTCTGTTCATGTGGTACTAAGGATTCAAACTCAGGGCTTCATGCGTGCTAGGCAAGCATTCTACCACTAAGCCACATTTTTAGCCTTGGGCTAGTCTTTATTGTACCTTAGCAAAGCAATCTACAAAATGTTTTGTGTGTTTGTCTCCCTTATTCTTTCCCCTGATAAACTATAAGTTTCCTGAGAGCCGGGGCCATGGCTATCCTGGAAGAGTGCCTGGCACATGACTTCAATAGATATCTGTTGGATTAATTAAGAAATCCAGGCCAGGCATCAGTAGCTCATACCTGTAATCCTATCTTCTCTGGAGGCTGAGATCTGAGGATTGCAATTTAAAACCAATCCAGGCAGGAATGGCCATAAGATTCTTATCTCCAATTAAGCACCAAAAAAGCTGGAAGTGGAGCTGTGGCTCAAGTGGAAGAGTGCTATCCTTGAGTAAAGCAGCACCAGGACAGTGCCTAAACCCTGTGTTCAAGCCCTAGGACACATACAAAAAGAAAAAGAAATTCACCCAGTCACTTAAACTAGAATCTCCAGATCAGGGTAGATACTGCATTCTTACTCTGCATATCATATCGGTCAGCAGGATTTGTCTCTTCTCTGGAACATTTCTTGAGTCTGCCTGTTGCTACCATACACAGTGTTCTGTGCCCACTCATTTCACATTAGAACTGTGGTAATAACTCAGTGGATTTTTCCATCTCTTTTCTTTTACTTTTAATATATCCTACATGCAGCCATGGGGGTCTTTGAAAATTAATAAACTTGACTATGCCTTTCACTGTGTCACTTCCCTACTTAAAACTTTTCTTTTGGCCTCTCCTTGTCTGGTCTAAAGAAAATCTAAATTCCTTGGACTACTGTCTTTGTGTTCTGCCTCATTGCCTTGTTTTAACTTTTGTTTCAGCTACCACAATGGCCTTCTAGTTCCTAAATCTTTTGGTGGTGGTGGTTGTGATGGTAGGAGTGTGTGTGTGTGTGTGTGTGTGTGTGTTAGTAATAGAATTCAGAGCCTCAAGCTCTTGCTTGACCTTTTTCTACTCAGGCCTGTATTCTACCACTTGAGCCTCTGCTTCTGGCTTTTTACTGGTAAAATGGAGATAGAAGTCTCTCAGATTTTTTTGTCCTGGCTGAATCTGAACTGTGATCTTCAGATCTCAGAGTCCTGAGTAGCTAGGATTATAGGCCTGAGCTCTCCTAAATCATTTAAGTCTTTCCGTATATACTTTATCCTTCCTCCTCTAGTACCTAACAGAAGGTTGCCACAGAGAAGCAAGAGAGGAAGTGGATGAAGGCAGAACCTGTGAGTCTGGGTTGGAGAACTTGGGTCACTAGATTTCCAAAGAAATAGAAAAATAGGACAGTTCTTAAACAGTCGTGTCTCTCCAACATTAATTATTCCTTGGAGCACAGATATTAGTATTCAAGGCTTAAGATTTTAGGGCTCGGGCTGGGAAAGTGGCTCAGTGGTAGAGCGCTTGCCTTGCATGCTTGAGGCCCTGGGTTCGATTCCTTAGCACCACATAAGCAAAAAAGTAAAAAGCCGGAAGTGGCGCTGTGACTCAAGTGGTAGAGCGCTAGCCTTGAGCTGAATTGTTGTGAGACAACACCCAGGCCCAGAGTTCAGGCCCCACAACCGGACCCCAAAAAAAAAAAGATTTTAGGGCTCTAGATCCGATGGCAGCAGGCAGCTCTGATGTTGAAGTGGGTCCTTTAATCATTAAATACCATTTTCTATTATTTTAGCTCCTTTGGGTAGGGGAGAATATCTTGAATATTACTCTTTGTTTTTCAGTGCTCTTTTTTGTTTGGGGCGTGTGGTTCTTCTGGACATGGCATCTACTGCAGGAAGGCAGAATGGCCAACAGCAGCAAGGAATTCACGTGGTGCCGTATTGGAGCCTCATCGTCTGTCTCACAAATGCAATTTAAGGGTTGACCCAGGGGTGTAGCTCAGTGGTGGAGTGCTTGTGAAGGCTGGGTTCAAGCCCCAGCTCCCCTCCAAAAAAGAAAAAAAGCAAATTAAACATTGTTCAGCACATGTGTCTCTTAGGTCTTCTTTTCCACTGTTGACTGCTACTGTAACTGCGCTGATGCAATGAAACGTGGAGGAATGAGTTAGGCAGGCCCAAGCGGCCTCCCATTCGCCTCCCACAAACAGATGGCACAGCACATAGAACTATCATCACTTCTGCCCTCTTTTCTCTGAATTGTGTCGATTACCCAGTGATCTTCCTTACTCCAAATGTTTGTCCTTCTAAGGTCATCAAACACAGATTAATTGGGAACTTGCACATTAATCTTCGTTAGCCCGATATGGAACACCTGAATCTCATGGTTGCAAAAATATCTGTGTTAGCATTTTGCGATTTTGACCTCATTTTTTTTTCTTGAGGGTTGTTTGTTTGTTTTTATTTTGGTGCCAGTACTAGGGATTGCCTCATACTCTCATGTGGTTCTTTTACTCCTGGCTGATACTCTACCATTGGAACCACCTCTGCTTTTTGGTGGTTGATTGGAGGTAAGAGTCTCATGAACATTCCTGGCTGGCTGGCTTCAAACTACAGTCCTCAGATCTCAGCCTCCTGAGTAATTAGGATTACTTATGCCACTGATGTCTGGCTTCTTAAAGTTTTATCTATAGCATGTGAGAGGTTACTGGGAATCTGATTTAATGTGCTAGCTATTATGATGTGTAGATCCCAGTACACATCTGAAGTTTTCCTCCTGTAAGTATAGAATGTCAGCACTAAAGAAATGTCCATTTTCAACAGATTTTGAGCATTCTTTAGAGTTATTTGAGTGCTTCATCCTGGCTCGAGGACATTACAGCAAGAAGCAAGTCACAAGAAGTGTCTTAAGAAAATGTAAATAGAAGGCTGGAGACTGTCAGCTCAGTACTACTGCTCCATGATGCCCTTGGCTGTCCCGATAACTTTTGTCACTTTGTATTTCTTAGCAGTTCTTTCCATGAGATTGTCATCATCTGATCCCAAGACACCTGCTCTAGCAGTGAGGGCAGTACAGAACCTGGCTCTAGGAGAAACCTGCCTATGATCTTTTAGACCTACCAAAGGCTTTACTTCAGAGGCATCTTAGGGAAAGGTATATAACTGCCTCAGATTAGGAGCACAGCCAGTGCTTTGTGACTTCACAGGAAGTTTCTGTAAATGACTCAGTCCCACCTCATGCCCCTACCATGCATATCTGCATTTCTAGCCCAGATTCTCCCATTTGGAGGCCTCCTTGCCTATAGAGTGGTGGGGAAGAGCTCTAGCTATGGCCTCTCAGGTGCCTTTGCAGAGACCCATTTATTGAAAGGGGAATGGGGAAAGGGAGTCCTTAAAGATGCTTCTCTTAGGCAGGTGTGATGGTGCATACCTGTAATACCAGCCTTGGGATATGGAGTTGCTTGGGAGGCAGAAGCAAGAGTTTCACTAGTTCAAGGTCAATGTGGGCCACATAGCAGGACTCTTGTTTTTTTAAAAAGAAACGAAACAAAAAAAAAAACCCAAATAACAATAAGATAACTTTATTCATTCAGTACCTTTTTCTCTCCTGGCCTTTTCCTCTCCTTCCCCCCCACCCTCCCCCACCCCCATCCCATGGCAGGAAGACATCTGCAGTGGCTTGCCTAGTATTTGTTCCATGGGGTAAAATGGAACATTCGCTGCAGGTGCTTTCTCCACTTTAGCCTCTTGCTTCCTCCTTTTGTACTAAGTAATCTAAAGGTTTGTCTGTTACTTCTTTTTTCACTTATCTTAATCAACTATTCTAATACCTGACTCTCAGCTCTCTTCACCTCAGCTCTTTTTTGTAGCACTGAGGTTTGAACTCAGAGTCTTGTACTTGCTTCTTCCAGCTCAGCTCTTGACAGACAGCAAGGTTGGAAAAAGCAAAATGCATAAGCCAGTGGGTTGGGCTGTCTTTTAATGAGCTTTCTCCAAAGCCCCTATCCAATGTTCTCTGCTTATATGTCTTATTGGTCACAGTGTATCACATAGTTACCCTTAGTTGTGAGGGAAGCTGGAATATGCTCCTTAGCTTGGCACATTGATACCAGAATGAACCATATTGCTGCTAAGTAGAGAAGGAAAAGAAAGTTTTAGATAAGTAACTCCAGTATTACATCTTATTTTTATTTTATTTTTGTCAGTCATGGGGCCTGTCGGTCTGGGCACTGTCCCTCAGCTCTTCAGCTCAAGGCTAGCACTCTACCACTTGAGCCATAGTGCCACTTCCGGCTTTTTCTACTTATGTGGTCCTGAGGAATCAAACCCAGGGCCTCATGCATGCAAGGCAAGTGCTCTACCACTGAGCCACCTTCCCAGCCCCCAGTACTATATCTTAGATTCCCTATTTTTAGAAAAGCAAATGGACATTTGTCTTTTTTTATTTTTTTTGATTGACACAAAGTATTGAGAGGAATGAATTTGGGAAAGATGGAATGGCACTAACATAGTTTTTGAAACTCCTTAATTCCATCATGAAAACAGAGCAACTGGACTACCAAAATAAGCCTATGGACATCATCTACAACAAAACTAAGTGACAAGGTATTTCCACAACCCCCGAATCAAGTAGATGGAAACTACTGTCAACTCTCAGACTTGAATGGGGTATCAGTGTTTATGGGGGGAAAGAAGTAGAGAGAAGGGCTGGGAAGGTGGTTCAGTGATAGAGTGCTTGCCTTGCATGCATGAGGCCCTGGGTTTGATTCCTCAGCACCACATAAGCAGAAAAAGCCAGAAGTAGTGCTGTGGTTGAAGTGGTAGAGCACTAGCCTTGAGCTGAAGAGCTCAGGGACAGTGCCTAGGCCCAGAGTTCAGGCCCCACAACCAACAAAAAAATAAAAAAGAGGCAGAGAGAAGCAGCAGAGTATTGGGGAAAGCTGAAAATAAAGAGACCCAAAAAACAGCCAACAAGAAAACACATTGGGCCAGTAGTAGAAAAGCAGCAATAGAGATTTTATATATACCAGTTTGCAGCCCATAAGGACAGGAGTTCAAAGAAGCTGTTGTAGACCTGATCCTGTGAACTTACCCAACCATCAGAGAAGAGACTGCAGGAAACAATCTAATTCAGGAAGGCCAGGGGTGGGATATTTGGGGCAAAGGAAAGAGAAGTCTAAATAAGAGCTGAGGAGGGGAACAGACTGAGGCTATTTTGGAAAGTTTGAAGCTGTGTACGTGTGTGAGTGTTTGTGTGTACTGGAGATTGAACTCAAGGTCCCATACTTGGTAGGCAAGTACTACCATTTAGCCAAGGCCTCTAATTCTTTTGCCTTTTTTTGTTTTGTTTTTTAGATAGGGTCTCATGCTTTTACCAGGGCTAGCCTTGGACTTTGAGTCTCCTACTCTGCCTCTTCTGTAGCTGAAATTAGTGTGTACCATCATACCAGGTCCTGAGGCCATACTTTTGAGAGTATCATGGGAAGATTGAAAAAGAAGCAGTAAAACATGATTTTAGAAAAAGCTAACTGAGGGCTGGAAAGGTGGCTCAGTGGTAGAGCGCATGCCTTGCATGCCAGAGGCCCTGGGTTCGATTCCTCAGCACCACATAAGCAAAAAAGAAAAAAAGCCGGAAGTGGCGCTGTGACTCAAGGGGTAGAGCACTAGCCTTGAGCTGAAGAGCTGAGGGACAGCACCCAGGCCCAGAGTTCAGGCCCCACGACCGGACCCAAAAAGAAAAAAAAAAAAAAGCTAACTGACTCAACATTTTCTCCTAAATAGGCAAGAAAACTAATTCCATGTAAAATAGTACAACAGTGAGGATTGCAGTCAGATCTCATAATTAGGTAAGAAGAAGAAGAAAAATGAAGACAAGGAGCACAGTAACATCCCCAGTGGTGACTGAAGCATCCTAGATGAATTCCCACAAAATGGGCAAAACCTATTACGATTTGAAAACAAGCTTAAAGATATAGAAGAAAGGCTCTAATCAAAACAGATGGTTGGAAGTAGAGCCATGACTCAGTGATAGAGCTCCACCTTTGAGCAAAAAAGCTGAGGGACAGTGTTCAGGCCCCCTGAGTTCAAGCCATAGTACCAAAAAAAAGAAGAAGAAAAAAAAATAAGAAAACCAGGAAGTCATCAGGCTTTGACAAGAGTGCTTTATACGGACTACTGTAGTGATATGTATAGGATGCTCGAAGAAAAGAAAATGAGAGCCAGGATTTTGCATCCAACCACCTGTTTTTCTGGGGTGAAGGGGATAGATAGAACATTGTTGGCATGGAAAGAACAAAGAGAATACTCCCTAGGCTGGGAAAGTGGCTCAGTGGTAGAGCGCTTGCCTTGCATGCCTGAGGCCCTGGGTTCGATTCCTCAGCACCACATATGCAAAAAGAAAAGAAAGCCGGAAGTGGCGCTGTGGCTCAAGTGGTAGAGCGCTAGCCTTGAGCTGAAGAACTGAGGGACAGAGTTCAGGCCTCACGACCGGACCCCCCCCCAAAAAAAAAAGAATACTCCCTGAGTTCAAATCCCAATGCCACCAAAATAAAAATAAGGAAGGGGACTATGTTTGAAACCTGTACTACATTCTTTGCTTGTATGGTATGGGATTTCCTCATGGAGTCCATCATTGGTTTTCCCCCCACCCCCATGGCCTGATCTCTAGAAAGCAGACAGTAGAAAAGAGCCCCTTCAAACAGACAAGGAAGGCAGCCTGGTTCCTGAACCAGGACATCAGAGGAAGGAGCAGGAGCCTGGGCCTCTCCATTGATTAGTTGACCATTTTATATTCTTCTTCTAGGCGTGGAGATACTTTGTTTCATGACTCATAGTTATCCTGGGACACACACATGTTCTCCATGCCCAGCAGAGAAATAGCATCCATATGTTTTGAATTTATTTTCCTGCTTGATTCACCAAATACCCTTGCACAAGAGACATTGTATTCCAAGGAACTGCCTTTCAAAATAAATGTCATTTATTTTGCTTTTGTAAATGGCTAATCACATTATATTGAGAGTTAGCAGCCTTCTTTTAGAAAGACTGATTTTGAAACCAACCAGATGGGGAGAAAGGATTATATGCCACCACAACCCATATATTTTTAATAGGCCATAAAACATCAAATACCGTACAAGTGAAAATTTTGAAATGAACATTTTGGGAAAATGCTGGCTTGTTAAAAAAAAATATTGTGGCAGTTTGAAAACAAAAAATATTTTCCTCACGAGTGGTGGTTTTTAAGATGAGGTCCAGGTTAGACTTTCGTTATTCACAGGTTAGATCTTCCTTGCCTATCTTCTCTGTCACTTTTTTTTTTTTTTTTGCTAGTACTAGGGCTTGAACTCAGTTTTCATTCAGCTTTTTTGCTTATGGATGCTGCTCTACCACTTGAGCCACATCTCCACTTCCAATTTTTTGCTGGTTAACTGGAGGCGAGTCTCTTAAATTTATCTGCCTGGGTTAGTGTCAAGCCACAATTCATGTGTTTCAGATTCCTGAGTAGCTGGGATTATAGGTGTAAGCCACCAGCACCCAATTCTATTTGTCAGGTTTTTTTTTTTTTCACCAGTCCAGGGGCTTGAACTCAGGGCTGGGCACTGTCCCTGAGCTGCTTTTGTTCAAGGCTCGCACTCCACCACTTGAGCCACTGTGCCACTTCCAGCTTTTTCTGTTTATGTGGTACTGAGGAATCAAACTCAGGGCTTCATGCATGCTAAGCACTGAGCCACATTCCTAGACCCTGTTTGTCAGTTTTCAAGAAGTCATTTTAATTTTTTTATTCCTTTTGATTAGTAAAGTCCTAACTATTCCAGTTTCTTCCCTTCCTTCCTTCTTTCCTTTTTTTTTTTTCCTTTTTGGACAGAGTCTTGCAATGCAGCACAGGTACACCTTGAACTCATGTTGTAGCCAGACTGATTGACTGGCCTTGAGTTCTCAATCCTCTTGCCCCAGCCCCCTCATACTGGGATTACAAGCATGGACCTGGCTGTTAATTTCTTTGCTCTTGAGTTTCTTCTAGTTCCATTTCCATATATATATAATACTTTTTCTTTTATTATGATGTTTTCTTTTTTATTTTTTTCTTTTGTCGGTTGAGGGGCCTGAACTCAGGGCCTGGGCACTGTCCCTGGGTCTTCAGCTCAAGGTGAGTGCTCTACCACTTGAGCCATAGTGCCACTTCCGGTCTTCTGAGTGGTTTATTGGATATAAGAGTCTCACGGACTTTCCTGCCCAGGCTGGCTTTGAATCATCCTAAGATCTCAGCCTCCTGAGTAGCTAGGATTACAGGCATGAGCCACCAGTGCCTGGCTTATTATTATGATGTTTTCTTCATAGTTACTAAGTTTTTCTAATAGTAGTTGGCATCATTCTTCCATATTGTATATAATTTAATTTTGAAGGAATGAAATGTTCTTTTAGTCTTCCAACATTTTTGTTACCTATTTCTGCATTCATTCTTCTCTTGATTTAGATTTCAAAAGCTGTTGTCCTGAGTAGACATGGATTGAGTTAATTTCTTCTATTCAGTCATTATTTTGTCTATTTACTAAACAGATGTGGGCTTTTTAACAATTTAATAGGCACTTTGGAAACAATGATAAGGAAGAAGTCATTGCCCTTGTGAAGCTTTGGTACTGGTGGGAAGATAGATGATAAGAAACATGCTTAGAAAGTTCTAGAAGCTTTCTTAAGACCTTGTGCTACAGAGCAGCACAGGACTTCCCCTAGCCATGTTTACCTCATTTCAAAGCCTGAATCTTTCCACAGTATGCCAGCAAACTAGCAAGCAACATGTCATGTACCACAGTATCTTGTCAAATGATGTCATTATTGGTAAAGAAACTCAGTGTTGGAGTGCAACTGCAGATAATTGTGGACCCATATGGTAATTGATAGCTCCTCAGTGTCTCCCTGCCAGCCATGATGTGGTTCTGACAAACAGGGCACCTCCCTTGGCAGCTAGCATCTTGCATGTGGCCTCATAGCTCCAGTGCTGCTTAAGTGGAGGCCTCCTGGGATGTGGGTAGTCACTTGTTTCTCTCCTCTGTTACTACAACCCTGTATTTTCTCTTCCTTTCTCTCTGAATTAAATCTTTGGTTTAGATATCAAACATCCTGCACAGTCTCTGTCAAATACAGTTAATTTCTTCCATGTAGTCATTATTTAACCCACTTAGTGAACAGTCATTAGGATCCATCCCAGCCATCCCAGGGGACCACGCGGAGGCAGGCATGCACAGGAGAAAGATTATTATGTGGTTTATTAGAGGGACCATATCAACCCCTGGAGAGGGAGCAATATGGCATCTGGGGCTAATGGGTCGGGTACTCTGTGTGCACAGGTGGGTCTGGGTGGAGAGTGGGAGTGCCCAGCAGTCCTGGTGGGCACCCTAGGTGAGGGAGGAGCTCAGGTCTGGGTGGGGCTGAGGACCAGGGGTGGGGAGAATGCTAACACTACTCATTAACACATGAGCAGACATCCCAACAAAGATAAGCATATAGCTTCCCTCAGAAGCAGCTCCTGTGTTCATTGTAGCATGTAGGGCTGTCCCCACTCTCTCTCTCTTTCTCTCTCTCTCTCTCCACAGCCACAGAACTGATTCCCCTTCCCTTTCCACCCCCAACTTCTTAAGCTGAGGAGTGTATTGCAGATCAGGATACAAGTGACAAAGTAGAGCACTCAGAATTTGGTGGCCTTAAAACAAATCTTTTAACAATCCTCGCACAGATTGTCTCGCTGCAAGGTCATAACATTTTCTGTTGCTCCCTGCTCCTTGCTGGCTGCTTAGGATGCTGCCTACCTCCCTGGCTGGTGCCCTGCCAAACCACCTCATTTCATCACCGGACCCTGCTTGGGTGGGGCCAGCTGCTGCCTGGGCACTCATTGTGGGTGGAACACAGGGCAAGATTTGTTGGAGAACAGGTACAAGGGAGACTGGATCAGAGACAGTCTCGGGTATTGAAGAGGAATTTAAGGGAGCACTTGTCTTTGAGGCATTGGACTTGGGTTTTTATTCATCCAAAGGACCTTGTTTTAACCTTGGAGTAAGTTAGTGTCTAGGGCACAAACACCGGAGTGGTTAGCAAGAGGGACACAGAGAGGTTCTGGCCCGAAGCTCTCTATCTGCACAGAGGAGGGAGCACTGAGGAAGGCAGTGGAGGGAGGCTTCAGGGAGGACAGGGCCTTAAGGAGTCTGGGAGACAGCCTCCACAGTCGATCCATCATCCTCAGGTGGAGTTGGCAGAATCTGATCATTTGTGTTGTTGTTGAATGAGTTATTTACATTGAGTCATTTTTATTCATAAATAAATCAAGCCCTTCTTAAAGGACACTTCATACTGTTACAGCAATGAAATAACTACTTGCCATGGTAGAATATAATCATATAATATAGAGAATGAAAGCAAAACAATGGTATTAAAGTCTAAGGGCTGCAGGGCTGAGAGTGTAGCTCAACAGTAAAATGCTTGCTTAACATGCAGAAGGTTTTGGATTAATTCCCAGCACACATTTCTGCACCCCCCCCCCCAAAAAAAAGATAATTGTAGCTAGATGCTAAAACTCTTTTAGCAGGTCTTAAAGAGGGGTTAAAAACACAAGAACAGGGCTGGGAAGGTGGTTCAGTGGTAGAGTGCTTGCCTTGCATGCCTGAGGCCCTGGTTTCAATTCCTCAGCACCACATAAGCAAAAAGAAAAAAGCCGGAAGTGGTGCTGTGGCTCAAGTGGTAGAGTGCTAGCCTTGAGCTGAGGAGCTGAGGGACAGACAGCGCCCAGGCCCAGGGTTCAGGCCCCACAACCGGACCCCCCACAAAAAAAAACCCAAAACAAAATACCCCACAAGAACAGAGCTAAGTATCAGTGGCTCATGCCTATAATTCTAGCTACTCAAGAGGGTGATATCTGAGGATTATAGTCTGAAGCCAGTCTGGGCATAAAAGGCTGTGAAACTCTTATCTCCAGTTGAACTGTGGTTCAAGTGGTAGAGCACTACCCTTAAGCAAAAACTTAAGGGACAGGACCTAGGCCCTGAATTCAGATCTCAGGATGGGCACAAAAACTAAATAAAATAAACAAAAACAGGAATTGGAGGTGTGGTCAACTCAGTCCCAGCCTTGAGTAAAAAAGCCAAGAAAGAGTGTGAGGTTGCTGGGCACTGATCAGGAGGCTGAGATCTGATAATCGCTGTTCAAAGCCAACCCCAGGCAGGAAAGCCTGTGAGACTCTTATTTCCAATTAACAACCAGAAAAACAGGAAGTGGTGTTGTGGCTCGAAGAGGTAGAGCACTAGCCTTGAGTGAAAGAGCTCAGGAACAGCGCCCAGGCCTTGGGTTCAAGCACCAGGACTGACATACACAAAAAAAGTGTGAGGCCCTGAGTTCAAGCCAAGTACTGGCACAAACAAATAAAAAATAAGAACAGGATTATAGACAGTGATAGAGACTTGTTTTGCATGCATGAGGGTCTTGAGTTTCATCCCCTAGGACTGAAAAAAAATTACTTATACTTTCACCTTAATATAATACAAAGAACAAAATTCATTGAATTCCTTTACTAGACACATGGCCGTGATATAACTAGGTCTTAGGAAAGTTAGAGGAGGAAGTGGCGCTGTAGCTCAAGTGGTAGAGCGCTCACCTTGAGCTGAAGAGCTGAGGGACAGCGCCCAGGCCCAGAGTTCAAGCCCCACGACCGACAAAAAAAAAAAAAGAAAAAGGAAAGTTAGAGGAATAAGAATAACCTCCAAGGTCAGTGAGGAATGGGAGGAGAATACTGAATTGACTGTGGAGTGGGAACAAAATGAGATATGAGGGAAGACTGGCCCTGGGACTCCATACCAAGCCCCAACATCTCTGAGGTAGGAAGCTAACTCACAGCTACCCCTTTAAGTCCTCTCACTTTGAAGGGTGCTCAAGTGTGCACTCTGTGGCTCCTGAGAGAGGAAAACAGAATTTTTTCTTCTTGGAAGAAAGTATTACTACTCATCTGGGCTTCCAGGATCTCAACAGATTGTGTTCAGCCAATAGAAGTTCACAGTGAAAAAGGCCCTAATACTTGAGAAAGCAACCTTCACAGCAGAAGCCATAAAAGTAGCAACCCACACATTTAAGATCACACAGATTTCTTACATTGAGATGTTAGAGATATAACACATAAAGTATGAAATGTTCACAGAAAGAAATACATACCCAGAGATAAATGACAGGATGCATTTGTATGTATGCACACATGCATATACAAAGGCCAAAGATTCGATTTCCAGCCCTGCAGAAAAAAAAATACTGGAATACTGGAATGGAGGGAATTTTGTCTCACTTCTTTGGACTGACTTTATCGAAGATAAAGAAGTGAGGGTGTGGCTCAAATGGTGGAGCACCAGCCTCCACCAATGCTGCCCCGGGTAGATTACTTCTCAGCTTATTGTCCTTTGTTTTTCTGGGACACTTAATACAAGCTCCACTCAGCTATTTTATTTCTGCTCTCTTTTGGAATGTAATAGGCTCAGAAACAGACTTTGTCCTTGCCTGGTCCCTGGAGCCTAGAACACTGCCTGGCACAGACTCCATAGTTGTTCAGAGACTCAATAATGTGCACAACGACCCTCCTACCCTAGTGTACGTGACAGGCACGTGACCAATCCCTGAGTCAGCCACTCCAACATCTTGTAGGAACTCCCTTGTGCCTTTTGCTGTTTTCTCTATAAAAGTTAGTCAGGCTACTGCAATTCAAAGAGAGTCTTGTCCCCATCCCCAGAAACTAAAGGCAGCCAGGGAGCTCTGGAAGTTGGACTGCTAACACACAAGCTGTTTTATTCTAGCTTTATTAACTTTTAAGCCTTTTCCTGTTTTCCTATCAGGGCCAAACCTACCTCCTGGCAGCTGCTTAAGTCTTGAGTATTTGAATTAGATTCCTGAGCATGATTAAAACAGATCTGAGGCCTCAAATAAAAGAGCTCCTAAAATACAAGCAAAGTCTAGGCTGTTCCAAAGCCACTGCGCCCATCACCTGAGGGCCCGTGGCCTCTTCTCTGGGAGGGTCTTCCAGACTGGGCAGGCCGGAGGTCCGTGTACTGGTGGTTTGCTGTTGTGGTGCCCAGCATATGTGGGCAGGAATTGGCAGGATAAAGGGTGGATGTCCTTAGTATACAGGGGAGCCTTCTGGGCAGAGTTCTTAGGGAGTCTTTAGCCCGGTCTTCTTTTACAAGTCAAGTTTTTACCTAGGAAAATAGACAAAAAGCTGGGGTTGATTTATCATCAAGGCCCTACCCTTCCAGGGAACAGCAGGGTAGACTTCTGCCCTTGTTGCCCTCCAGCCCAGCCCTGCCTGGCTTTCTAGTCTCCCACACTGAGCCACACTCATTCTAGTTGCCTTCCAAGCAGAGTGTGCAGTCTTCACACTCAGGCAATCCCAGGACACACTGGGAAAGGAGCTTTCCCTGGATATGCTATGAATGGTTAAAAAACCCCACAAAAACATAGATAGATAGATAGATAGATAGATAGATAGATAGATAGATAGACAGATAGACAGATAGACAGATATAGATATATAGATATATAGACAGGTGCTAGTGGTCCACTCCTGTAATCCTAGCTACTCAGGAGACTGACAGGATCCGAGGATTGTGGTTCAAAGCCAGCCTTGGCAAGAAAGTGTGTGAGACTCTTATCTCTAATAAAGTACCAAAAAAACCAGAAGTGGAGTTGTGACTCTTTTTTTTTTTTTTTATCGGTCATGGGGCTTGAACTCTGGGCCTGGGCGCTGTCCCTCAGCTCTTCAGCTCAAGGCGAGCGCTCTACCACTTGAGCTACAGCACCACTTCCAGTTTTCTGGTGGTTTATTGGAGATAGGAGTCTCACGGTCTCTCCTGCCCGGGCTGGCTTTGAACCATGATCCTCAGATCTCAGCCTCCTGAGTAGCTAGGATTACAGGCGTGAGCCACCAGCTCCCGGCTGGAGTTGTGACTCTTATGATAGAGTCCTGGCCCCTTCAGGGGCAGCACCCTATGCCTGAGTCCAAAGCCCCAGGATGGTCTTGTCTGTCCATTAAAACGCAGTATTAGCCAGATATGGAAGGTCATCCCTCCAATCCCTGCACTCAGGAGGCTAAGGCTGGAGGAGCATGTATTTGAGGCGAGGCTGGATAATAGCAAGTTCCAGGCCAACCAGGGCTACATAGCAAGGTTCTACCTGGGAAGATGGAACAGAAAGGGAAGGGACCTCTGAATTATATAAGCATAAATATGACAAAAATCATCCTGGCTCCATGTTCCCAGCCCCCTAAAGCAATCAGTGACCCTTTTCACACAAACCATCAGAGACCCTGAATTCAAATCCTGGTTCAGACAACTGTGCCCTTTGGTGGAGGGAGGGGGTTGTGTAACTAAGCAGTTGCTATGAGTTATTACCATCTACCTGAGAGAACAGTTGCATTTCTGTGGGACATTGTGGCCCAGTATTTTTTTTTTTTTGGGTCCGGTTGTGGGGTCTGAACTCTGGGCCTGGGTGCTGTCCCTCAGTTCTTCAGCTCAAGGCTAGCACTCTACCACTTGAGCCACAGCACCACTTCCAGTTTGTTTTTTTTTTTCTGCTTATGTGGTGCTGAGGAATTGAACCCAGGGTCTCAGGCATGCAAGGCAAGCACTCTACCACTGAGCCACCTTCCCAGCCCCTGTGATCCAGTATTGTATGGATGATCTAAGATGGAGTGTTCACTTTCCTCTCAAAGGTCATGCTCACTCTGATGGCCAGAGCAGCTCTATTTGCTCTCCTGGAGCACCTGAAAGTCACGTGACCATGTGACCACATCCAGCCTCCAAGGCCAAGGGTTTCCCAAGAGGATAAAAGACACAGATGCCTGTTGATCCAGAGTTCATGTTTTGGGTTTTTTCTTCTTTCTTCCTTTCTCTTTCTCTCTCTCTTTCTCTCTCTCTTTCTTTCTCTCTCTCTTTCTCTCTTTCTTTCTTTGTCTTTCTTCCTTTTTTTGTTCAGTGCTTTGAATAGAACAATGAAAAATTAAACAAGACCCCTTGTCTCTAGTCTTGGGACAGTCAAAGGGCCTCAGCTTGACTAATAAATATACATTTGGTAAAGACTTAACTACCCCTGCCAGAGTGAGGGGTAGAATGGGGTATGGCATGTCCCGCAGAGAGAGGAGGGCCAGAGGATGGTCTGCTCATGCCAAACCTGGTGGATGCCCTAGCCAACAGGCCCAGCTAAGAGCAAGGCCAAGTTAATAA